TATTTATTTATTTATTTATTTTTAACTAGGGCAGGCTATGAAGAAAACCCCAGAGAACATGCAACCTCAGAAATGCTTTAGTAAGACATAGAACCAATAAAGGTAGTTTAAACAAGTTTTTTTTAGCTATAAAGAATTAAATTTGTAAGACAGAAGGCAGAAGAGAGGAATCTAAGGTTCCAACTAACACCTACCACTAGGATTCCCAAGAAGAAAGGTAATAATGTGCTCTATGTTCTTTTCACAGTCCCACTTCAAAACCAGGCGACCTTTCTGAATTTTGGAGCCTGGATACTTTCTGAGGTTTTCCAGTCTCAAACACAGTAAGTGGCAAAACCACCTTCTGAATAAGCGTACTTTCTCTAACATTTTCGGTTAAAGTCTATCCAGTAAAGTGTATGAAGTATGTGAAAGTATATAAAGTATGTGAAACACACAGTCATCTCTATATTTTTTCCTCAGTACAAATATATAGTAAAGGAGGAGACTGATAATACAGAATTATTAATACTAACTCCTGCGTTACAAGCTGAACATTTGAAATGCAAATTTTGTACTTCAGACACTCATCTGCCTGTTCAGTTCTTTGTATTCCAGGTATCATGATTATTTTGTTTCAAACTGACAAGATCTAGAATATATGAAATAAAATACAAACACTTATTGAAGAAAGGTAATACCTATTACTTATAGAACATGGCAAATCTGCAGGTCAAAGTAAGAATTATGTTACCAATTATTTTATGCACTACCATGTATCATTCCCCCTTTCATCACTACATTATTAAGAAATACAAATTAATTATGAGCTATATATAGTTCAAATAGACCCTGCTAAATTAGTATTCCTTAAAAGTTCTTGGAACTTCCTGGACTTTGCAAGTGTCTTCAGATTCCAAAGGGAAATTGAAGATAGACAATGAGACAGTCTGGTATAAAGTGTTAAAGCCTGTTTACAGTACTATGAAGTTCATATGTGTATTTTTTTTTTTTACATAAGTAAAAATCTAAAAATCTGACAAGGTAGTTGAACAGATTAATGTGATTGCGAGTATATTTTTACTATAAAATAAGCCATAAGGTCAGTTTGTAGGCATTAAAGCTGAGCATACTTAAATACTTACTAAAGGGGTGATTATCTGCAAAACATTTGAAGAAGATGGGCTTCTGGTAATGGCTTCTTGAATATCTAAAAATAGAACAAAAATATATAAATATTATGTAAACCAAATCTTATGATATAAATGTGATTCACAGTCAAATACTCAACACAAAACTTCCTGAAAATTGTGGAAATGTAGTTTAACAGCACTGTTCTACTTCCCCCTACCAACAGCTGCTGAAGTATAAGCCATACCTGTATTTTTATAATTTGCAGCTAGATATTATTATCTGAACAAAATATTTAGTGTCAATAAATAAATCTAAAGCTAGAGAAAAGCATGCAAGCTACTCTAAGCTGGCAATAAAAATTCCAGACTTAGATTGGTTAGTGACTAACTGTTACTCATGAAAAAGACCACTATGAAGGTACACGGTTTTAGTCACTCCATTTGGTAACTAGAAAACAAAGCCAAAAAAAGGGGTTCAAAAAGGTCGTGGTTTAAAAAAGCGACGTACTTACATGACATGGAAGTACTTGCAACACTTTCCTACAGGTACATACTTACATGTACTTACGTGTCCTAGAAGTCTACCTGTAAAATTTCACAGCTTCTTATTACCAATTTTAATCCCCAAATAATTAGGCAAGCTAAGTAAATTTTTAAGATACACATATATATGTATTACATTAATTTCCACCGTTATTTCATTTGCAATCAGTTAACTCCTGTGACTCTTTCATTCTTTCTATCATATTCCTTATGTACTTTTCTTATAGTTTTCATAGTTTTCCTTTTCATATTTTGCAAATTTCAGCTTTCTTGCTCTCAGTTCCTTTACTGCATTTACATTTGCCTCTATTTCTTTGTTATTTCTCTGTTATTTATACTGCCATTTCTCTTCTATTTTCTTGTATCTCTCTTTTCATATCTACTTTCTTAACCTGAGCATATAATACTAAAACTCCTCTCTGACAAAAGACGGAATTCTTCTCTTCTGTTTGCCTGGAAGCAATAACCATGAGGTACAGGATAATGAAATTCTGAACCACTGTTTGATGGGAGCAGGATCTGTAAGCTACAGCTGCAGAAAGTTTCTAAGTGGTTGCAAAGATCTTTTGTTCTGCTGTTGCAGTTTACAGGAAACTGAAGCCTTCTTCCTCAAAGTCAAGCAACACACCATTTGATGTAGAAATATATGGATAGTGTGCAGGAGCTTACAAAGCCCAGGTTTAGTTTGATTCCAGTCAATAGGGAGGTAAACATGGGTAACTTGACCATGAAACGGTGCAGTCCACGAGAAAAAGAAGTAGAATAGTAAAATAAAATCAATGGACTTCAAGAAAGCAGACTCGTATAAACTCAAATCATTGGCATGTAAAATTTTATTTGAAAAAAGTCCAAGGAAAACATAAAATTCAGGAGAGTTGGCAGTTCCATAAACAGCAAAAATGGCAAGCAGAAGTTATATAGAAAGCCAAGCAGTCCAGTGAAGAGACCATGTGGACTAAGACACAAGGTCCCTGTTGATTTCAAATACAGGATGGAGCACACAAAATGCAGAAACTATATCAAAATAATGAGAATTTTTATGAAAGACCTGTATGATCATATAGGTCAAAGCAAGTACTAACCATTAGATACAGTAGCAAAAAGACCCAAAGAGTTTGTCCTATGAGTATGTCAGTTGTAATAGGATGACAAATGAAAGTGTTGGCTAAGTAATCATTGGAGAGAAAAAATTACCAAGAAAAAGTACAGACTTTTTCCCCACATTCTTCAATAAAATGCCAACTGTGATGGGACAGCTTATATAAAAAGCACCACTATAAAGAAAGTAAGAAATCAGCCTGGTATAGAAAAAGAATAGGTTAGAGAACACTGAGGTTAAGGTTGAAATTTTTCAGAGTTGTGCTAGTGATATTTACATAAATATTCAGATTTGGCTGCAGCAATCCCAGAACTGTATTTGTGATTTTTAAGAATTCATGGAGAAGAGGAACATCCTAAAAGACTAGAAGAAAGGAAATGAAAACCCATTCATTATAAAGGGTTATGTTTGGAAAATTATAGGGTGTATAATATAAAAGGTAATTATTTTCAGAAATAATTGTAAAAAAAATTAGGATGGATAAACACTGGAACAGTTTCCTAAGTGAGGCTGATACATCTGTATCTGTACACTTTAAAGAACAATTTTGACAAACACCTGTTAGAAACAATGGCTTCAGTTGGGCTGAGATAGTTTCTGAAGGTGTCCTGCAGTCATATTTTAAATGATTTTTTTGACCAGCGCAAACTCACCATTATTTTAAACTAATTTCATTGACATGATTTTGATCTCCTGTTTGCTACATTTAGTAAAGAATAACAAGAAGGAGATAAGAAGAAACATTTCTATCATAGGATTCACGTTTTAAATCCAAATTAATCCATTACAACAAAGTTACTTAGTCACTTGATGTAGGATCCTATTTATATCAAACTTACTTTGTAGCCTTTGATCGAGACAATCAAGAGACTGGAGAATCTTCTGTTCTTCTATTGAAAGTGCACTCATTTCTGGACACGGAGCCCTGTTAAGCAGCAAGGGCTGGCTGGCTGGCTGCACACTTTTCATAGCTGCCAGGATTTCATCTTCTGCAACTGGTGTACTCGCTAGTTTTTCTGCCATTAGAAACTGAACAGTGCTTTCTGAAACTGAAGAGATTGCAGGAGTAACTTGAAATTAGAAGAGCTCATGACATTTAAATGTGCTGCTTGCTTTCATTACTATTGGTCAGTGAAACACACAAAATTCACGTTGAAAGATTAAAAAAGTGGCAAAGGCAAGAAGCACGATACGTTAGAAAATTACATAATTAAGATCACTGATGCCTCTTAGAATGGGCACCAGAGCAAGTTCTACTGACTTTGGAAATATATGATGACAGCAAGCAATACCTGTCCATATCATACAGTTATGTATGATACATTCAGCTGTCATACAGTTAAATACAAACAGGAATGGAATGAAACCTGACTATATGTTGTAATGTGTTTATCAAACCATCACTATGATGACACATGATGCTGTGTCTTATGTTTTCATGAAAAAAATTAGGTCTACACAACAAACTACCCTTTCTTACTTAGAATCACTGATGCCAAAAGAGACAAGTTATGTTACGCAGTGGATTTATGAGGTCACTACCTTATGTATAACAAAGAATCGAAGTGAGATGTGTTACTGTACCTTCATCAGGCTTATAGGTGTTATTCGTATTTTGGGCTGGATCAAATGAAGATTGAATAGGACTCAGCTGGACAGTACATAACGAATTCTATTAAAAACATTTTAAGAATATTTTAAGTGTAATTTAAGGTAACTATACTACTTCCTGAATATCTTTATTTATTATTTTGTATTACTAAATATTTTCAAGTGCAAAAATATTAGTGTATGTTAATACAGTAGATGTAGTCTAGTTGGTTTTATTATTTTCATTAGCAGTGACAGCAAGCTGACTAAGCACATTGATTCAAAATTTTCTTGAAACTCTTTCAATTTTGAGGATAAATAAGCTTTTTTAAAAAGAAAATAGTATTTAATGTTTACCTGTGCATGATGAGTAGGTTTCCATCTTTTAGAGGCTACAGTTTGCCTTCTGTGTTCTGAAAACTGCTCATTTTCACCATTGTCAAAATCCTTCTTTTGTCTTGTAACAGGAACAACACCTTAAATGAGATCCATCCAAAAATAAGCCAAAAATGTGTGAAAACATGACAAAGCTGCTAGTAGCAAAACTAGTAATGGTGAATAAATTTCTCTGTCCAAATTTAAGTTTATCTTGTGCATGTTACCTCTGATCTAGCTAAATATATTTTCTTATAGTGAAAAGAGAGAAACAGGCGCTTCTAAGGCATATCTGATTTCATGATAGGATAGGTCTATAAAATCCAGATGTAGATTGTATGCAGACATTTACAAGCAGGTTAAGTGAAGCCCCGCCTTGAATCGCAGTTTATAAAGGCAGTCTGTACAAAGGGACAAGGTGGTCTTACAAGAGCGAGAATTAACAGACAGTGAGCTACGATATAATAAAGTGTCAAAAAGTAATGTTTTAGAAAATCGGTTGCTTTTAGAGAATAATCCCAAAGTCTAATTGTGCAACACAGTAATGTCTGCTGTGCCAGGATGCAGTGTCTTGTATCTTAATGGATTCAACATTTGTTAAGAGTATCATAGAATAATGGAATCATAAAATCATAGAATCATAAAATAGTTGGTTTGGAAGGGACATTTAAAGGCCACGTAGTTCAATCCCTTTGCAATGAGTAGGGACATCTTCCACTAGATGTTGAGCCCCATCCATCCTGACCTTGAAGACTACATAGTGCCATGCAGAAACCATGTTCACACGGTTTATTTGATTCACAGAATGGCAGGATGGTTGAGGTTGGACGGGACCTCTTGAGGTCACCTCGTCCACCTCTTCTGCTCAAGCAGGGCCATCTAGAGCTGGTTATGCAGGACCACGACCAGATGGCTTTTGAATATGTCCAAGGAGAGAGACTCCACAACCTCCTTGAGTAACCTGTGCCAGTGCTCAGCCACCTTCACAGTAAAATAAAAAATTCTCCTGATGTTCAGAGGCACTTTCTGTGTTTTGGTTTGTGCCCATTGCCTCTGGTCCTGTCACTGGGCACCACTGACAAGAGCTTGGTTCCATGCTCTTCGCACCCTCCCTTCAGGTATTTACATACATTGAGGAGATCCCCCCTGAGCCTTCTCTTCTCCAGGCTGAACAGTCCCACCTCTCTCAGCTTTCCTCGTAGGAGAGATGCTCCAGCCCCTTAAACATCTTTTGCCCTTTGCTGGGCAGTCCTCCAGGTGTGGTCTCACAGGTGTGATTCAAATGTAAAGTCATGGGTCAAAACCTTAGTTCTACAGCTTGGGATTTTGTAGTTCATCTTACTAATTTATACAACTATATACTAATGTTAGTGAAGACAGTACTGCTGTTTAGTATTTTCCCTCTGCTAGAGAGGCCTAAACTAGACACTGTACCTCAAATTTATCTCAGTTTTCTCTGGTCTAATAATTTTCAAAATTAAAGCATCAGGTTTCAGAATTTAAATTAAGTTCTTAATTAAACTTTCATGCAGACAAAATGGAGATGTATATCAGCATTTTCATGTGCAAGCCAGGTATCTACATATCCAAGGAGACATTATATTCTCATTTGTAACTGCAGTTACTTGATTTATACTTGGAAAAATAAATTACCTATTAATTTACATAATAAATATTTACATGTGCAGTTTAAGGTGCAGTTCGTGATTAGATCAAGAGGTCTTTTGGTGATTTTAACAGAAGTTTATTTCTTTGGTTGTTATTACAGTGATACTTAACAAAGCAGAATTCTTACCATTTCCAGATAAAGAAAAAAATTAATTGATCCTAGAAGCAGATTTGAAACTACTCATCTGGCCGCTGCCATTAACAGTAACATGGGACACATTAGCTTTAAAGGGTTGCCATTTAGTTATATACGAATTATTGTAATGTGACAACAGGGTGCTGAATAGCACCTGAAAAGAGAAGGAAATGTGATCATGTTGTATTGAATATGAGGGAAATTTTAAAAAAGAAACAAATAAGAAATCCCTTATTTTATTAGTAATCACATAATGTTTTTCTGAAAAATAAAGCCCAAAGTTGCTCTATTGATATGCATCAACATTTAATTTCATTAGTTTTGCAAGACATGCTAGATCTATGCCAAGGAAAAGACTCCTTTGGGAAATTTAAGACAAAAATTTAATATAATATAATATAGTCTCCTTAAGAGCATGAGGTACTGAGCAATCTACTCCTGTTTAACTATAGGCCTTTACTAGACCTGGTGCTCACCAATGTAGAAGAGAGCATTAGAGAGGTCAATATTGGGGGCAGCCTGGGCTGTAGTGACCATGCCCTGGTGGAGTTTGTGGTGTTGAGGAATATGGGCCTGCTAAAAAGCAGAGTCAGGACCCTGAACTTCAGGAGAGCAAAATTCCAGATATTCAAGGAATTACTGGATGGGATCCCCTGGGAAACTGTCCCTAAGGGCATAGGAGCAGAACAGAGCTGGCAGCTCTTTAAGGACACCCTTCTGAGAGCACAAGAGCTCTCCATCCCCCAGCAGAAGAAATGGAGCAAAGGAAGCTGAGCAAGGACCAGCAGCTCGCTCAAACTGAAGGAAAAGAGGGAAATGTACAGGAAGTGGAAGCAGGGTTGTGTAGCCTGGGAAGAATACAGGGGCGTTGTCCGGATGTGTAGAGATAGGATCAGGAAAGCCAAGGCACAGATGGAGTTGAACTTGGCGAAGGATTTGAAAAATAACAAGAAGGGGTTCTACAGGTACATAGGCAGGAAGAGACAGGCCAAAGGAGAGTGTTCCCCTTCTGATAAATGAGAAAGAAGAACTGGCTTCCTCAGACATGGAAAACACTGAGGCACTCAATAAGTGCTTTGCCTCAGTCTTCACTGGCGCCCTGGGCAGCCTGCTCTAGTGGTTGGCAACCCTGCCCACAGCAGGGGTGTTGAAACTAGATGATCTTTAAGGTCCTTTTCAACCCAGGACATTTTATGATTCTATGACTCTATGAATGAGCCCTGTATTTGTCACAGGCTAAATGTTACACACATTTCTAAAGCATTTTACTGACTGAACACCAAAGGACTTAAAATAATTCTAATGTCCAGCTACAGAAAATAATATGTGCCAGCCAGAAGATATACCACTTGAAGCCTGGAAGCCCACTTAAAGGAAGATGCTCCTGGCCAACAATTTTATTTATTCATCTTGTTCTCACTTACTCTTTCTGGACCATACATTTGGCCAAGCAGCTCAAGACATCACATTTTCTACTGTGCCCTCACAGACTGAGATCTGTCATAGTGCCACAGCAGATATTTTACTCAAGAACAATGCAGTATTCAGTCTCCCATAGCAAGTACTTCAGGAAAAGACTACGGTGATCTATGTGCATTTTCAGGCAATAGAACAAATAATAGCAAGTCATTAAGAGTTATCTAGAATATTCAAAATAAAGAAGACTTTCAAAATACAAAATCTTAGCAGATACTGAGAGAGGGCCACCCACCCAAATTTTAAAAAGAGGTTACTCAGCTCTTCCTCTAAAAGACCTAGAGCTATGTGACACTGGGGACGTAGCATTTAAAGTTGCAGTGACGACAATATTAGCAGCGCATACAACTTTGGACCAGTTCCTGATTCATTGAACTGATGTGCAAATAAGGACATCAAGAGGCAAGTATCTCTGCTGGAGGCGAGGCATGATAATGCAAGACTTCATTTCTACTGTAAAATCAAATAAGTTAACTTAAGACACATATCTTTAGCTCATCTGTTTGACTTTGAAATGTAATGGACAAGCAGATAACATTTCTCATTTCCCACCCCTGCTTTAGGCCAAGAATATTCACCTACCTCTGTTCTTACACAACAGAGCTGTTGTGAATCACTCCATAGTGAAAATCATGTAATGCTGTAGATAAAACTAGAAACAGTTTTTTAAGTTATGGGAATTACTTATTTTGCCATAAAGTGTCTTTACCATAAAGTGTCTTTAGCTGCACGGCAGATCTGGGAGGTGATCCCAGTAAGTGAAGCAGTTTGGATACTTCTTGTACCTGAAGCAGGGTCTACAGCTTCAGGAGCTCTGCCTCCAGCTGCAACCCGCAATAGGAAGCAAACCAGAGCACAACACACAAGTTACAAGCACAAGGATGCCATCAGTGCCCGAGGCACAGAACATACGTAGGCTGCAGAGGAGAAACAAGGCAAATGAAAAAGTATGAAATGTATTTTGAAATGTAAAAACCAGGAGATTAAAGTTTATTCTCTCAAAATTTCTCACTCATCTTTCCTCTGTCTTACCAATCAATCTCTGTGTCATACTGTTCCCAAGGTTAATTTTTTTTAAAATGAAGGATTGGTCCTAAAACTTCTAAAAATTCTTTATAAATCAGACATATTTTGCAGCACAGCAAAATTTGTCTGGTAAAAGCTTTTTATTTTTAACTTACATTTTTTTTGAGCATAAATTGTAATACTGAGACTAAAACTTAATAATTTTTGGCACTTACAGCATCTGCATTTTAAAAACGTGGTAGATCTACATTTCTTTCACTGTCAGGCGGCAGTGACTGTTGGACAAGCTATGACTCCCAGTTACCTTGTAAAACTTGCTCACATAAACTTAGTCACTTCCTCCTATGTCATTACTTAGACCACCTGTCACATCTGCTCGTTAGTCAGGAATATAATCTCAGGGAAAATACTTCCTTTTCTGTTAATATTGTAGAGAGCTATTAAAAATAGGAATCGACATTTGAGAGGCCTCTGGGCAAGACTAGAATAGAAATGACAATGCCAAATGGTGAAAACTTGTTAAAACTGTCTGTATTGTGTGAATGGATGAAAGGCTGGGTGTTTTAACTGAAAACAAATTTGTGATGTAATTGAAAGACTTTCGTCTGAACATCCCCGCACCCCAAACCCAGACTCCTACCAGCAGCAGAGTCTTTTGGAGCTCGAGCGGTGTGTGCTCCTTGCCAGGGGGTACTTGTTTTCCCAGCTGCTCGGATGTGCTGGAGATGTAATCCATTTTCTGCGTTAGCAGGTCTTCTTTCAGTGCAGTTTACTGAATGACCCTGACGGGCCTTTGCCTGAACACAATTTACAGAACAAGTATTTTTTGCCCAAGGTTTGTATTTGGCCGTGCTGCAGCCAGGTGTAGATATCGCAATGGCCAGGTCTGAACTATAAGTAATCCTCTCACTGTTTTCTGTACCATTTCTATTTAAAACTTGATCTGCTAACAAAACATGCCTGTTATTTAAATCATTCCTGTTTGTAGCTTGAAGACGTGAAGGCGGCAGTGGCTGCCACCCAGGGCTGGCCGCGTTTTTGCCACTTCTGTTTCCCGGCAGAGGTGTGGATGGTGGGAGAGGTGCTGGCAGTTTCTCTGGAGCTTTCACAGTTTCGTTGGTTTCAGCGGCTGACTGCGGTTGGACTATAGTGCCTGTTCTCTTCTGGGGCATAAAACTTGGCTGGGCTCTTACAGATCTCAGTCTTCTAGTTATTTTTGCCTTGTTTTTGAGTTGATGAACTTCATTAATTTTAGAATTATTGCTACATACTGGGGGTTTACTTTCTTCATCTTGTGATGCCATCCAAGCTTTTTTAGTAGAATAGGATCCAGTAGACATAAATATATTCAGAGATGTGCATTCTTTATTCAATTCTTCAGTATTCACATTTGGTTTTGATAGATGAGAGATTTCCTGATGATTTTTTATGAACATGGGGTTTGAAGGTTGAGCAACAATACCTAAATTAGTCTTAGGAGCATTATTTGTAGCTTGAACATATTGCAGCTGTGCAGAAGATATTTCACTGGTGGTTTTTTCATAGCATTTTTCATTATTTTCTATTATTATCTGGTTAATTTGATCACACCATCTTAGCTTTCTATTGTATTTTTCATTTTCTGCACTTTTCCTTTTTATTTTTGCCAGTTCTAAACTGTCTCTGATAGAAGACACAGGTCGTGTTCCAAAAGTGATCCCCTGGTTCATAACTACAGCTTTGAAATGACTGGGTTCATATTTAGATTCCTTCTTTAAGATACTTGTGAATAATCTTGCTCTTTTTCTTTCAAGTAGATTGTTTTTCAGGGTTTTATGCTGTGCAGGAGTGTCAGAATTTAACTCCATATCGGACATCAGTGACATAGTTTCTACCATATTTCCCTTTTCTTCCTCTCTGTTATTCTGTTGCTTAACATCGCATGGAACTGAGGCATTTGGTATGTCCTGAAATAAAGATGAGCCTGGATTAATGTCATCAATACATTTAGTATTTTCTTCTTTTGTTTCAGTCATTTTTCCTGAGGTATTTTTTAAAAACTCTCTACTGATGTTTTTGTCCTTTGGTAACGTACCGGCTGTGCTGGGAATGCCAGCGGAACATCCCTGATTAGGAAATAAGAGTATAGATGTTGCAATAGGTTGACTGGAGTTTTGCACAGATACAGTTCTTTTTTGTGGGGTCATTTTAAAACTCTGATCTTGCATCAGATCCTGAACTCTCTCTCCTGGAATAGAGTCAGGGCTGGCCCAGGCTTTGCTAGGATTGAAAACAGGATGACCAGCAGCTAATGTGCTAGCCGTACCAGAAGATGGCTTGCTTCTTTCTTCTTTTATATTTTGCAGAAAAATAAATGCCTTACTTACAGAGCTTTCTTGCTTACCAGAGGTAGAGGACTCTGCAGGTCTTTTTCCAGATCTGTGAGCAGCAGATGATTCCTCTTCTGAATTGTTTACTAGCAGGAGTTAGAACATTATGTTTAGCTAAAAGATCATGAATAGGTAAGTTGTGGTTGTTTTGTGAATCTACGTTTCTCAGACAATTATTTAGATGCATATTTTTAGAAGTACTTAGAGCTGTATAAAGCAAACCATTATTCCTAGTTTGTGATTTTTCTGGATTGTACAGGGCACAGTCACACTGTGTAGTCAAAGATGATTCACCCGGCATTGTGTAATTTCCATTTTGTTCTCCAGCCTCAAGACTGTCAAGGCTTGACAAGCTTTCTGAATCATCTGTTTTCTTGACTTCTTGATGAAAATTCTGAAATACAGGCATAAAAACAGTGTTACATTATCAGAAATGTTTTTTTGATGATACTAATTTTCCATTAATGGTAGCTTGGGCTACAATACAATCAATATTAAGCCTGGTGTTTTTACAACTTGGGGCCATAGCACCATGAGTGTTTCCATCAAGTCAAAATTCACCCGTGTTCAGTTGCAAAAGAAAATGATGCGGTTTGGGCACAAAATTCAGAAGAAAGCACTGCCACAAATTTAATCCTAAGTTTTATATCAATTATACAGTATCAAAAAAGGAACAAGATTTATCTAAACAACACTACTGCTTCTGGATTGTCCTATGGCAGGGGATGGGTTTTATACTCTGACATGTAAGGGAGTTTACAAAATGAAAGAGAATCCATAAAAATGCAGATTTGATATTAGATCTCCCTTGTTTAACTCATTCCAGTCATACTACTAATGCACTTGAAAATTAAGATTTTTTCTATAATACTAGACTGAATATGTTAATTTTCATACAGAATGCCACAAGTGATGAGGATTTAAACCTTGTTATGGCAAACACAGAAAACAGCTCTTCCTATCATAATCACAGGTGATTAACACCTCCCCCCAGTGAAACTCCCTCTTCTCATCTTTTAGAAAGCAGAAAATATCACCTGATCTATGAAGACAGATCAGGTCTAAGGATATATGGGAGCCCCATCCACTCCCCCAATTTCTTAATTGAATTTTAATGTAATGATGAATAAATAACAGCAACAAGCACCATGCGAATCACCACCGGGACAACTTTGTGTAGGTACTGTACAGGCATTTTCTTCACTCCTCTGTCCAAACACTGAGATGCCTGACATGGTTGAAAACACACACCTTTTAAAGTACAAGATTTCCAAAGACACAGAAACATAAAGGAAAACAATCACATCAACTATTTTCACAATCTTGCACACTCTCTCTTTCCAATTAAGGTCACTTCCACACAACTGAGCAGCTAAGTGATTTTAAACCGTATGTTGGAAAAAATTCGGGTGAAAAACTAAGAGAAGCTGCATCAGATATACAATCTTATGCAATGAAGATTTTTTTTTTCTTTAGTGACTTTAAATGGAAACTGTTTCAATTAGTAAAATTTGTTAACCTAAGTAAGTGATTATTATATATCCGCGTCAATTACAATAGAATTTACATTTTGAAAACTTACCAAAGAATGCATACAATTAATTAGTGAATAAGAACATACTTTTGTAGTAAACCTTTTTTTTTATTTTAATAAAATTGTTATACCATAATATTGCATAGTATATAGCTGCACAAGTATTTTAAATCGTAGAATAAAAAGCTTAGTGAGTCCCGAAGAGCTTTTTATGACTGAATTAAAACTTATCTTGCACTAAATGTTCAGAGGCTGGTGCAGTCTTCCATTATAGTTATGATCTGAGATAAAGA